AAAAAAAAAAAAAAAAAAAAAAATTTAAATCCAACTGCCCTGAAGGTCTCAATGTTTGGGACAGGAAACTTTTCAAAGCAAACCCATACGGTTTTCCATCTTTACACACTCTTTGACCTATTCATCTACATACAACCATATATATCGTTCACAAATTGACTCAAGTAAATCTACAAAATTGTCAGAAAAATGCCCTTGATCTAAGTTAAAAAAAAATCATTTAGAGAATCAGTTCCATTGCCTTTACAGAAAAAAGAAGGTTACATATCTACACGTGTGAGAATATTTCATAAATCACAGAAAGAGTCTCAGGGCAGGACTGGAGAGACCCAGAGGGCGCAGCACTTCTTGCTCTGGTATGTTCCATATATGCATCTCATCCTCCAGCAATAACGATGACTTCCCCCTTTCTTTCCAGTGTTTATGCATATTTCTCACCTGTAACTGAACTGGCTAGAACTGCTGGAACAATGTCAATGACAACGCTGTCATCCTTAAATTTAAGTGAGAATTGAAGTAATTGTTAAAAATAAATAAGACAGCCGGGCTCAGTGGCTCAGCCTGTAATACCGTACCTTTGGGAAGCTGAGGTGAGTGGACTGCCTGAGCCCGCGGGTTCGAGATCCGCCTGGGCAGCGAGACCTCATCTCTACAATAAATCAAAAACTCAGCCGGGTGTGGTAGCACATGCCTGTAATTCCGGCTACTTGGAAGGCTGAGGTAGAAGGATCGCCAGAGCCCAGCAGGTCGAGACTGCGGTGGCTGGGAGCGGCCACTGAACTCCAGTCTGGGCGACAGAGTGAGACTCCAACTCAATAAATAAATAAATAAATAAATAAGACATATTTCCTACTATGTTAAGAAGTGGCAACTAAGTCATAATTCCTATTTTATTGAGTTTTTTTTTTTTACTCAAAATTAATAGTTAATTTTACATTTTTCAGCATCTGGGGAGATGATTATTTTTCTCTTTTGTATTTTTTTAAAATATAGTGTTGGTACCCAGGCTCTACTCTATATTTTTTTAAAGTACAAAAGAGAAAAATAATCATCTCCCTAGATGCTGAAAAATAATGTGGTAAAATTAACCATTGAGTAAAAAATCAAAAATTCAATAAAACAGGAGCTTGGGTCCTAGGCTCTGTGTCCATGACAAGGATGTGGCTGAATGCTCCCAGAAGTTTGCCTCCCCCAACATTTTCCAGAGTTAATTCTTTCAACTGGTCTATACTGTGTGCTGTAGCACCCCTCCAATCTCCGGGTGCTGGGTGTAAGCATC